AAATATTGACTCTGGTTCGCTAAATTTCAAATTTCCAAAGTGCCTAAGTGACCTGAACTTAGTGACTCAAAGTCACCTAAAATACCTGTGTCGCGCCTGTGAGCATGATTTGATTGCAAAGTAAAGGTTCCATAAGTTCTATAGGGGTACATAGAGATGTACATTTCACTGATGTACCAAAGTTCTCCTAACCCACCAATTGAAATCAGCTCAAAAATATTGACTCTGGTTCGCTAAATTTCAAATTTCCAAAATGCCTAAATGATCTGAACTTAGTGACTCAAAGTCACCTAAGATACCTGTACGCGTTTGATTGCAAAGCAAAGGTTTCCATCGAAGAACAAGTGAAAACATAGCAAACGAAGGATGTTCAACTCCTCCGACTGAGCCAGCGAAATTACCAGCGGCGCGCAATGAGAAACTCGCACCGTTTCTAAGAAAGATATCTCCGAAGGCCCATTAAAGGCCGTGGTAGAAAAGTGCCGAGGAACGAGCGTGAACCGCGCGAACAGAAGTTCTGTTGGCTAGTGTCGTTTCCATCGTGTAGCCCTGGGATGAGACAAGGGATGGAGACAACGAGGCGTACTCTCGCGGAGCTGCGAACATGATAGAGTCATACATAACTCCGGCCATCCATAATGCATTCAAGTCAATCGAAAAACTGCCCTTGTTAGGTTCGCCCTGGCACATCCAGCTTCCTGACCAACCTCATCCACCTCGCGGTTTTTGCCGATGATAACGACAAACCGCGCTTGCCTCTCTCTCTCTCTCTCTCTCTCTCTCTTTCTCTCTCTTTTTCTTTTTTTTTTTCTCTGTCTCCTATTTTATTCTCCTGGACGTTTCGTTCGTCTTCTTCTCCACCCCTCACCTTTTGCAACGTCTTTTTCGTTCGCTTTGGAGCGCGAGACCAATTACCCGCGTCTCTCGAGCGAAGTTGGGTCCGTATCGAATTTCCCCGACGCTGATTAACCCGCAGTCTTTCTCTAACCGTTTCTTCGCTGTCTTCGGCGGATGGCCACTGATTAGACAGCGTCTCTCTTCGAGGTGAACCAGTTTTTCGAACTGGCAAACACCAGCTCGTGGGTGACAACGTGTGGCGAACGTGGACGTCCGAGGGTGATTTCTAGGATGATGTATACAGAAGGTGGACGTTAGGTTTCCCCTTTTTTTTTTTTTCAAGTGACGTCCTTTTTGCGGTGGTTCGTTTGTTACCGTTTTTTCCCTTCGGTTCTTCTCTCCTCTTTTTTAGTGGGTGCAGGACGAGGACAAACAGCTTGTACTTTTGTGATAATTATTTGTGTATTTTAATTTCTAATCTTGAAGCTTGTCAGCAGTTAGCATTTACGCATTTACTCGGTCGACAATTTCGCGAGAAATTTCAGTACATGGAGTGGTTGCCAAGACATTTCGACTAAAGGATGGAACTTTATTCGTACTCTTTATTATCATAATAAGGAATTTTGTTTGTCCGACAAATGTGAAATTGAACATAATGTCGTACGAATTTTTGCAAACAGAATTTTCATCTTGAAGCTAGTCAGCAGATACTTGATCGACAATTTCGCGGAAATTTCAGTACATGGTTACCAGAACGTTCCGCCCAAGGGGTAGAACTTTATTCTGTCGTCGTAATAAAGAGTCCTGTTTGTTTGACAAATGTGAAATGTATAATTCGTCTTACAGAATACAATATGATGAAAATGTTTGATATTGTCACGTGAACTTAAAATCTGGACTACGCGAAGATAAAATTAAAGCAGGTGTCCGACAACTTCATCCAAATTCGTCGCAATATCGTCTATAATGTAGAAAATAACAATACACACTCCGCAGATTTTCTCGTTCATATCTGGTATTGCGATCTTCCGAGTGGT